CTGAGCAGATTCTAAATTTCCAGAAAACAATGCTTATAAAAATGGGTATCATGCCTGCTAGAAAGTCTGAATCCTTATATATCATATCATACCAAAATATATTCCATTCAACACTCAGAAGTTTATATTCCTTTCACACATTTTTCAACTTTCTCATGTCAAAGCAGAGAAAATGACTATGTAAGCACAGGGATTTTTTTTTCATTTTTTTTTAATTTTTATAGGAAGCACAAGCCAATCAATATTTTTCCAAGTATAAGAAGCAGCAACACGAGTTAAATGAAGCTAAGGAAAGGGCAGAGATAGCAGAATCTCAAGTCAATAAACTCAAGTTGAAAGCAAAAGAGTTTACAAAAAAGGTATGTCAGATATTCAACTCTAATTCTTAAAGTGTGTGTGTTTAGGGTTCATGTCATACAACGAGTAGAACAAGAAATCTCTTTGTTGCCCATCCCCTTCCCTTTAAAGTCTTCCCTATTTACTAAATTCTCCTTGTCCAGGTAATATGAAGTGCTAAGCATTTGGGTGGAATGCACATTGTATTTATACTTCTCAAATTCTTAATTCCAGGTGAACTTGTAGACTCTGAATTCCAGGTCCTAGATTCACTTTTATAGAACAGTCAGAAGTCCAGAGAACAAAGATAATTTAAAAAGTTTGAAAGATGGATATGCTTGAAACTCCAAGAGAAGTCTTTCTAGGTAGACAAGTACATAACTTTATACTGAATCAGTATGGAGACCTGGGGGGTGAGGTTTAAAGTTGAGGCAGTGAAGAATAAATGCACTTGTCTTTTCTAGCTTTACTCCTGGTTCTGTCTTAAAGCAAGGAGAAAGGATATTTCCATATCTGTGGGTTATGACACTACTATTCTGATCCCATGGTACGGGCACTACCCTAACTTTACCAGCAAAGTGGCAGCATGACAAAGACCATTGAACAGTGGGCTTTTCTGGGTGTGTTCAGGTTACTATAACAGAATGCCAGAACCTGGGTGGCTTATAAACAACAAACATTTCTCACAGTTCTTTAGGCTGGGAAGTCCAGGATCATGGTGCTGGCAGATTCAATATCTGGTGAGGGCCACTTCCTCATAGCCCTTTTCTCAATGTGTCCTCACATAGCGAAAGAGTGGGGGTGTGGGGGGGAGCTCTCTGGGGATTTTTTTTTTATAAGGCACTGATTCCATTCATGAGAACTCCACCCTCATACTTAAAGCCCCACCTCCTAACACCGTCACTATGGGAATTGAGATTTCAACATATGAATTTTGGGGTTATACTAACATTGAGACCATAGGAAGCTCAGCTTTCTTATTAGATTTTCCAGGAACACAGGGTGTTTAAATAAGGTCTAGCTTTAGGAGAAATGAACTAAAGAACATTAGATAAGACATTAGCTGTCCTTTATGGAATGCCTATAAAACACTTAGCAGTCTCTAGCACAGACAGCCACCATTTCATTTTTAAAAATTTGGTACCTGCCTGGTCTTCTTATAAATGAATTAATAACTCTGCAGGATAAGTAAATAGGGTTGTCCATAATAAATACTACCTGGAAGGAAGTCAAAATAATCTCTTTTGAAGGAGAATCTAAAAGTTGGTTGTACTGAATAGGTTTAGATCTAAATATGAGAAGCATGGGTCATTGGCACACTCCAGAAATTTCTTATTGATGCTTGAATAGTTGTCTTAGGGATAAGGCCTATGTGCAAAGGTCCACTTGAGTGGTTTGAACTCTGGCCACAATTTGAGAGGGTCATGGCATTGGTTTTGGGTGCATATAAACCAATATGCCTGCCCCTCAACTGCACATAATAGTTTTGTTTGGGGAAATGCCTCACACAGGCTACATTTGCACTCAGCTGTAGGAGGTCAAAAGGGCTGCAAAACAGATGTAATGTATTCGACTTTGTCACAGTTGTTTCCAACAAAGAATAAAATGAGTGAAGCAGAAATTGCTTCTGAGAGGCCCAAGATGAATAGGAAAACCATCCTTGGCAGTGCAATGACTAATTGTTTCCCATTTATAGAAGGAAAGCCTGAAAATCTCTCAACTGTCATAAACCAAGTGAAAACCTTTGCTGATAGAATTGTGTGTCCCAGCTATGGAGCCAGTGGTAATATGGCCACAGCCTTTCCTTTTCTTTTGTAGAGGGCGCTGCCTTCACTGGCAAGGCTTGGCAGGCAGAAAATTGAGAGTACCCAAGCACGTCCTTCAGATGAATTACCTGTGTCTGCTTTGTGTAATGCACATAATTGCCTCAATTCCCCGTATCCCTTTGAAGCTAATGAGGAGTTGGCTGAGGTCTGCTTACTCTGGAAGGGACTGGGCTTGGTTCTGGGTGTGTGTGCCACTGATGAAAGTCACAGGAATTCACAGAACACACTCATATTGTTTTTCAGGCTCATGAAGAATAAGCAGTCCTTGCTTATGAAAAACAGAAGTTGGACAAGTCCAAGGATGGTACCATTTGATTGCTGAAAACTTAAGTTGCATTTGAAACAAGCATTAAAAAAAGCATGTTTATGTGGTGTGAAAAGCAGTTTAAACAAGGTGATTAGAAAATGTAATAGAGTATCCTTGCTTCCCAGGTTAATGGGGATTTTTTTGGTCCTCAAATACAAGTAAACATTTTACATAAAAGAGTCTTTTAAATTCTCAAGTTAAAAAAATACCTATTGCCTTTTAATGCAAAATATTTATGGAAGACACGGACGATGAGGCCTAGGGTATGTTAGTAAATTGTTATTACTGAAGTTAATGAGTTTTGCTGGACTCCTCCAACAATAAGTATATTTTTAGCCACTAATGGTGGGAGTTGATCAACTTTTCTCTTAACACTGTAATTTACATATAGTCACAGGTACTTAGAACTTGTAGATAAGAATCCTCCTAATCTATACCTGGGTGGACTACATGCCTGTGCATTTTTCAACACTGAAACAGCTTCTCATATAAGATGATCAGTTTAGTGTTGGGGGGAATGCTGGCTTTGTATTGTGCCAATGTAGCTAAGCGAGAGGTACATTTCCTGGATTTCCTTTCTCTGTTTGTTCTGGACTGGAGTTGGTCACAAGAGAAATTTTCACCACATTTGAGAGGGAGCGGTAGAGATGCAGCTGTTCATTTTATGCTGTTAAGCTCATGGTATGGCCCCAGGCACTGTGATAGCTGGCAAATACTACCCCAGGCCAAAAGAGTGAGCTGGCACTGAAACTCCCTCCTTCAGCTTCAGAGTCCTAGCTAGGTTTGTGTGTGGCTCCATGGTACTGGGCACCAGCTTCTCTTGCAGGTCACCCCTGTCATTGCCTTTGGAGGCCCTGAGAGGCATGAATTCCAGTTTCTTCTTATGGGTTTCAGTTCATCGTCACTCCACAACCAGCTCTCCTTGCTGACCACTAGCACAGCTGACCTACAGCTACCTAAGGTACATCCCCAGATGCGGAGGGGACAGCCTGACATGGACTTCTTTACAAATACCCAGACTTGTGTAAGGTTGATTCTATATAATAAATCTTTATTCTAGCATTCTCAGCAGTGTGCCTCTCTGACCCAACCCTGACTCATACAAGTGGCTCCAAGATTAATTTAGAGGCTCACCAGCATTGAAGGACCCAAGTTCATTGTTGTCTGCCACCCTGAATTTGTTGACTTTAGTCTTTCAATTTGTCCCTCCTCATCACTGTAAGGAGACGATAGTAGTTCTGAGCATTTTCTACTGACAAAGTTTTTGTTTATAATGATGTCAATACTTTATAGTTTATGATGAGTACCTGTCATAACATTGGAGCAAACACTTAGAGAAAATTGGACCAGGTAGCATTAACATACAATTCAAGGTTGATTTTCTCCTATAAACTATAGGGTCAAAACTTGATTAAGTAACAAAAATCCTGATTAGATTTTTTTCTTTCTTATAAACTGATTTAAAATTAAAAGGAAGCGATCAAGTCAACTGTGCTATCCATTCTGTCTTTGTGTAAAAATTTATGTGGAAATATAAATTTATTATAAGGCTGATTAACAATATGACAACTGAGCCGGAAGAGTGAATCAAATTATCTTCATAGCTAATGTCACTCAGCTATGCAAACCTGGTGTTGGAAGGTATAACCCAGCCTCAGAGATGTCAATTCTTGAGTTGATAGGGCCCTTTGCTCTAGGCAATCTTGAAGATACTGACATTTTTAGACTTTGGAGTCCCTAAGACTCATCATACTAAATTTAGTTGGTTAAACTGATATTAACTATTCATAGAAAACTGGAGTACAATACCTTAGCATATCAATTGCCCTGGTTTTTCACCTTTTCACTAAGGTAATTTCTGCTTCTATGTTGATCAGATCATTAGTTGATCAGATTTGAATCAACACTTAGTGATAATTTCTTCCAAGATCTTGATGGGAGTCTCACTGTGGCTGATTGCAGCAGGGATGTCAATGAATGAGAAAGTTCTAAGTTTGAATTGGAATCCTTGGCATCCAGGCATTCATAATCTTGATGCAGGTAGGGAGTCAGTGAGTGATGGTTAGGACTTGAAGAGTAAATGTAATCTTGTCAAAGACAAGTCTTGCCAGTCTTTCCAATGGTAGTTGGAAAGTCTTTCCAGTGGTAGAATTACTGGGCCATGATGAGCCATAGCTGGAATTGCAGTAAAGAAAGAGTAAGTGAAGTCACTGGATATTAAGGATGCTCATCATGTGTTACCACAGTTCTGCTTCATTTCCTATACTGTCTGGGTGTTTTGAAAGGGCCTAGAACCAAGAAAAATGGGACTTTATGTGGCCATTGTTCATGTCAGAATAACCATTTTTATCTTGAGCATTTAATGATGGTACTGTTTTGTCTTGATTGTTGGGAGAGGGGAGCTCTAGAGCTATTGTTTGCATCTGTAATGAGGGATCCATGAGACAGTTGTAAGTAGTTATGAAGTCTCAATTTAATCTCCCTCCTAGATTAGTTCCTGAGTTTTTAACCAGTAGAAAAGCGAGTTTACCTCACTCTTTGCTCTCATTTATATTATGCTTAATGGACTCCTAAAAGGTGTGCAGCAGCAAAAAATTTAAACTCCACTTTAAACAACTGAATTTGCAATCAAACTATAATTTGTAAGTAAATTCAGTCCCCAAGGAGCCTAGAAGTGGCTGGAAAAGTATGGATTCCCAGCCACCTGAATCTGGGCAGAAACTGTCATCTGCTTTTCTCTACTTTGTATTTCTTTCGGCTTCTATTCAGTCCCATACTTCCATTGGAAGAATAAATACATTGGTGCATCATCATATGCATAGTGCCATTGGAGATCTCTATAAATAACAGTAGGAAGTGAGAAGAGCAGCCACTTATTTAAGTAGCGCCTGTTTAATTATAGACATTGGAAAAAGTCCTAATTTTATTTTTTTCCTGTTGAGTTATCCTATGATCCCTCTCACCCTTTTTTCCCCTCTGATGATACGTCAGTCACTTTTTCACAGTAGCATTCTTATACTATAAGGTTTGATAAAGGAAAGATTTTACCTTGTTTTCTTCTGTGTCATTAGCAGTGTTGGCTCTCTCATCAGTAGAGACAGAATACCTTTCTACAGGAAAAAAGAGAAATTAAAAAAAAAATCTCTTTGCAAATGCTCAGCTTCTTTCTTATTCCTACCTCAGTACAATTACGTTATTAGATTCACTCACCTTAGTCACTCCCCCTTTCATATCTTTCTTCCAACAAACAGCATTAAAAATGCATTCAGTGTAGAAATACTTCTTCATCTACAAATAGCAATAAATTCTTATGGCCGATTCAGGTGCTCCAAAGCAGGGATAAAGGCTGTTCAACCAGGCCAGGAATTCCTGGCTCTTTAGGATTGTTGGCCTGATTCCTACTAACTGTTAACAATGGAAAATAACAGCCAAAGAGATGATGGTTAAACCCAGAGCGATGGCAAAGGAAAAGGGATACAACAACATTGTAAGGCCTTCCTTTTGTGCCTCGCTAAAATCTGGGATAATTTATACTTATCCTAGACTAAGGACATTTTAAAACAGTACTAGAAAAGGGAATTTAAAGAAGAAAAACATGAACCATGGTCCTATGAAACTACAACCAAGGTTTAGGGGCCATTAGTGCAACAGCTTGAAATATATTTTCAGCCTACCTAACTACAGAACTGTAGAACATTATTTTTTTAAGTAGCCAATACCCTGACATTGTTTTTGCTCTTATCTCCTGACTGCTCCTCCAGAATCAGAACCCAGCCTCCTGTCTCTGCCCTGGGATGCTTACCTGAGTAGGTTCCTTCTAAAGTCTTCCCTCTGGCCTCCAGTTGAGGTGGAGACCAGAGAGAGGAAAAGGCAAATGCACATATTTATTCTTCCAGCTCTTTCCTTGTAAGGTCTTCTTGGTCTGTGTCCTTCAACTAAAAGTCATTCTCCCTATAAGGCATCAGATTTTACATGACTCTCTGCTTCTGGGTTTTGGGAACTGCACCCTCTCCTTGTCCCTTCAAGCTTATATTTGCTATCAAATCAGCTGCTCCCAGTTCTGGGGAAATGCACTATCTTTTGTGTTCCCCTTTGTACAATTTTGGGTATGCCAGGTGTTTTCTGTTGGGACTTGACTTTTGCACATTTCCAAAATAGAAACTAAAATGTCATTCTTGAGCAGTATGTAGTGTCCCTCTGTTCTATAATTTGAACCCTAATTTAGTCACAACCATCATTGTATCAGGTCAGAGGTTGCTTCTGGGGGACAAACTAGACTTGCCCAGAATTTCTGATTTTGTTTATTTCCTGCCAGCTGAGGGACAGGAGGAACAAATAAGCAGGACTAGTCTGCGGATTAGTACAAACAATCAAAGGTGTAGATTTGGTGAAACTCTTGCTCAGTATCACCCTTAAAAACCTTACCTTCAATAATGGTGTCTGCTATGACCAAATCCCCTAACTTCATCAGGGGCAAAAGGCAATTATCAACCAGAGGAAGGGACATGAGCTATATCTCAGCCTCCCAGGACACTCGGTCTTCTCAGAAAGGTTATGGAGTAAGAGAGCTACTTGGAGCCTAGACCTACCTCTGCCACTAGTTAGCTGTGTCATCGTAAGTGGTGTACATGAAACTGTTTCATGTCCCTAACTACTTGGATTCCAGTTTCCTGGTCTATAAAATGTGGAAATAACTACATCTAAATTTTTCCTGGATCTAATTCTGTCAATAAGAGCAAAGTCTTCTAAGAAGTCCTGTGACCATGGCATCTTAATGTATAATTTTAAATTACCATAAGTAATAAAAGTACTGTAAGTAACACAGGTTTGTCCCAGAAAATCTAGAAAAAGTTTTTTTTTTACAAATTTAACAAGGATTAAAATAAAACGGCCTATAAAGAACAAAGAAGTAGCACCATAGACAAAGCTCAAGGAAAAAGAAAACAGTACAAGGACTAAAGCAAGTCCAGACAGAGGGGGCAAACTCTCTCCAAAGGCATCCATTTTAAAGTCTGGGTTTATTTCATTCCAGCTATTTTTCAATGCAAGATAAATTTGATCATTTTGTGTATTAGTGCCAGATTTAAATTTTTTCAGTGTGCTACAATGCATGTGCGTGTATATAGCTTGTTATATTGTTGACCATTTAACTCAGGATAAACTTGTTAAAAGTAGGATAGTTAGATGGAAATGTGGGAGCATTTAGAAAGGTTGCTGATAAATTTTGCAAATGAATATCCAGAAGATTCAAGTCTGTTTACAAGCCCAGCAGCTGTGTGGGGTTAGCTGCTTGATACACCTCTACTCAACACCCAGGGAACAAAGCCCAAATTCCCCATGAGACACCTATCTCCACTGAAATGGATGCAACTTATTGACTTAATAAGGAACATGCAAAACCAAAGGCACCAGAGACAGGATAATTATCCAGGTAATTCCTTTTTGACTCTGTTCTAAATAAAACAAAAAGTCTATAAACTGGAAGAAAAATTACCAAAGGAAACATTTACTATTTTAAAAACTAGTTATTTCTGCATTCATGAGCATAAATACCTCACAGTCTCAATGGCTTTACTGTGGGAAACCTGCATAAGCAGGAATATTAACCAATTTGGGGCTTAGTAGAGAGTGGGTATCAGAGGAGAAAAAGTCTGCAAACTTAAAAGGCAGTGAGTCTATTATGCACTGTGAGTTTCTATTTTTTATATTGTGAAGAGAATTAACAAAGGGATAATTATGACTACAGACTAACCTCAGCCCAGCATTCTCCTTGGAGGATGAAGGGAGGGCAGAGTTCACCCTTGGCTTGGAGAAGACAGGGGCATAGAGGAACAGGGGTAAGTACAGAGGTGATGAGCGAGTGGTGTGGGAGCCATGGTCTTGAGTGAGAGGTGACCAAGAGAGTGCTTGATGCCCCTCAGAATCATTGGAGTAGCCAGAGTTTTTTCAGCATCGTTGTTGGAACTATAATTGTAATTAGTATTAAAAGAAGTAGGACCCAGAAGGCAGAAACTTGGAGACCTTAAGTTACCTGCTAATCTTGTGATCTATGTTCTGCCACAGAGTGGGGGCAAGCATTAGAGCACATAGGCCAATTCAAGGTGGAAAAAAATGTTTATAGCTATTCTTTAAAATGAACAGCTCTATATAACAGATGCCTATTTTTATGAACATACTCTTTATTAATAAAGTAATGTCCTGCAATCACTAAAACATTAATCTCTCTATATATTTGTGTCATTCTGAAATTCTATACCCATATAGAGGGTGAGCAATTAAGTAGAAATGTTGACTTTCAAAAGTGTTTCCGTATGCACACTTTTCCTCCTGAAAAAAATCTTGCAAGGTATAGAATTTCCTTACTTTACTCATGACCCTCGCTTCTCCCATCTGTAAAGAAATTTGCCTAACATCACACAGTGATTCCACAAAATTTAGCAAGAATTATTAAATTCCATTCAATTCCATGCAACTTTTGTGGAGTAGATCCATAAGCCCTCTGCCCCCAAATCTGGGCTTCCTTTTCAAATGTTGCAGCATCTCCTGGGCAAGATAACAAGTAGAAAATTGCAATTGAGAACAGAAAACCAAGTTGCCTTGAAAGAGTGATGTTGAGGATATGAGTGGTGTTTGCCCTGTGGGGGTAGCTCCCATTACACACCTCTTCCTGGGTGGGAATGAGAGGTTCTGAAAAGCTTCTTTTGTCAGAGATGGAATGGTCCTGATGCTTTGCTTTGTGTAAACTAAAGATTAGACCTCTGATTAGAAAGATGGGTCATACGTGGTCTTCAGACCATATCTTCCTGTTTTTTCCCCCACACTCCAAAATGAGGCAACGTTTTAAAAACAGAATGAAAGCTTAACTGTATTTTACATAAAACTAACATTCTTATTTTGGAGCAAAATAGGAGCTTCAAATGCACTCCACTTTTCAGCATTCTCAAAATGACAGCTCTGCACAATGGGAGTATTGTCCCTCAGTGTCTAGAAGCTTCTGCTTGAAGACTACTTGACCTAAGGACAACTCCGTGTTCTTATCTCCAAATCTGTTATTCCTCCTAATTTTCACAACTAGAATGATATAAATGTTTTTAAAACAAATATTCAACTGACTCAAGTATCTTTAATACATAATACAGAGCTGCCATGGTTTCCTACGACATCACGTTGATAGCTTAAGGGTAAGGGGATCAACCAATCCACCTAGAAAGTCAACTTCACGGGTGCATATGCCATGACTCTAAAATATCTCTAGTCCACTCTCCATAAATATTTTTGGCAGTTAACTATCAGTAGAGGTAAAAAGAAAATAAGCTGAATCGGGCATCACTTGATTGCTTCCAACATCCCTTGGTGACTGTTTCCACCAGGTTCACAGATCATGCTTCCCCTGCATCTACCAGAGCCCCAGTTCTAACTTCTTACTGTGCCTGAAGCCTCAACTCCCCAAATTCCAGGCCCTAAAGCACAGGTTAAGCACAGTAGTAAGCAGAAATTGAGGATGTTAAGACCACAGACTCACCAAATCATGTAAATTCCCTCTACATTTCTGAAGCCCTGAAACCATGAAGAGGAATCTTCTGGGAGAAAAAAAATTTTTTTTCACTGCAGGACTTTGTGATTTTTAAAGAAGTATCTTGGCCAGAAGTATCCCTATAGATAACATTTTCAAGAATACTTATCAAAATTATTCGTTAAATGCCAACCTAATTTCCCTGTTTGATATTCACAATCTCTATTGCTATAGCCAAAATCTGTTACCCAACCCTACTTGTAACTTACCTACAACATGCAGCATTTGGATGGTGAGTAAGCTATATTTGCTTGAAGAAATATTGCCTAAGTATTCCTCACTGTCTGAAAGACTAAGATCCTTCAAAGTCAAAGAGAAGTCACTTTGTTTTTTTAGGTCTTTGTTCCATGAAAGTCAGGGTTCACTGATAGGTCTTTGTTTCATGAAAATCAGGGTTCACTGATAGTTGTTATCTTGTGAGGAGCTCAGAAAGTGAGCCAGGATGGAGGAGATCTCCTTTTCCACTTTGGACCAAGTGACTATGAAATCTTAGTCCAGGGGCACCTGGGTGGCTCAGTCGGTTAAGCGTCCGACTTTGGCTCAGGTCATGATCTCACGGTTCGTGAGTTCAAGCCCCGCATCGGGCTCTGTGCTGACAGCTCAGAACCTGGAGCCTGTTTCAGATTCTGTGTCTCCCTCTCTCTCTCTGACCCTCCCCCATTCATGCTCTGTCTCTCTATGTCTCAAAAATAAATAAACGTTAAAAAAAATTTTTTTTTAAATAAAAAAAAAGAAATCTTGGTTCAGTAAAAAAAAAAAATACTGTTCACAAGTTTACATGAGAGTGCAACATTTTATGCATTTTATGAAGGTCATCTAATAACAGGATAGAAAAGGAAACATCAATGAAAATACAATTTTCAAATGAATTTTCTAAGTTACACTTAGAAATGCTTTGAGAAATATCTTTGGAAATGCATTTCTTGGAAGAAAAGCTGTGCTACCATCATTTTAACACTTCCCAAGGTTAAGTTTAGACTTTTGAGGAGACCTAAACCTGGGCCAGCTAGCGAGGTTTCACTCCTTGTTTCCAACTCCTATAGCCCTATAGTGAGCACTCAAGAATGTTGCCACCAGCCTTTCAAACTCAATGTTCTTCTGTTGACACCTAAAATGCTGGTATTCCCCAGAACTCCCCTCTTGTCACTATCTACTCCCTAGTAGTCTCTGTTACTTGTGTGGTCTCAACCACTTCTTAATTGCTCTTTCTGCACAAAGTCCCTTTTCCTGCACATTAATAGTATATTTCCAGCTATGTGGAGGTAAGCCCCCACTGGACTGAGCTCTGTTAGAGCAGAGACTATGCTAGGTGTGCTCGGCTTGCCCCTCCAATCTAGCTGCATCTTGTCCTTCCTATCTGCAGTTTGGTAGCTGACCTCTGTGGATTACCATGAATTCTCTCCCTAGGCTCTAGACTTACTTCACACTCCACCTGCAAGAGACTGATGCCAAAGTGAGCCATCTAAAATGCAAATCTGGGTCTCTTTGATGCCTCAAATCCTTCTATGGCTCCACACTTCCTTCCTCCGGGACCCTGGTCAAGCTACTTAGCGAGACCAAGGCCTTTCATCTGATTTTTGCCTCCCTCTCCAGGCTTATCTCTTGCTACTTTAGCTTTACCCTCAACCACTTATACTTCTACAAATTCAGGCAATATTTACTCCTTTGTGCTTTTGTGGTTTTTAACCTGGTATGCCTATGTCCTCTGGAAATTCCTAATTTTCTTTTAAACTTCTGCCCTATGCAAACTCCTTAAGCATATATTCTCTAACAACACCATTTATATCCAATCATAGTAAACAGAATTAATTGCTCCCTTTGCTATGCTGTCTTCCTAGTTTAATTTTTACATGTTTTTACTAGATGCTGTGGATCCAGAAATGAGTAAGAGTCCACATTCTTTTTTTTTAATTTTTTTAAATTACATTTATTTATTTTTGAGAGAGTAAGACAAAGTGCTAGCAGGGAGGGGCAGAGAGAGGGGACACAGAATCTGAAGCAGGCTCCAGGCTCTGAGCAAGCATTCAGTACAGAGCCTGATGCGGGGCTCAAACCCACAAACTGTGAGGTCATGACCTGAGCCGAAGTCAGATGCTTAACCGACTGAGCCACCCAGAAGCCCCCATTCTTAAGTTCACAGTCTGAGAGCAACAAACTTGGCAGATAAAAAAATCCTCAACAAGAGGAAATAGCACTGAGCTTAAGAAACTGTAGATGCTTCTGCATACTCAATTCTGAATAAATGTGAGAAAATACAATTTTCCATAGAAAGTATTTACAATTTAACATCAACATTTTCAACACTTTTCCATATTCCCATCACTGCCTGGAAAAGTGAATACTGGGTGTCCCTGCCTTCAATGCTGAAATTATGTAAAGTTGGTGAATCACTCATAATTCAGGGTCTTCTTGGCAAGCACTTGGAGAATATGAGACTCAGGAAAGAAGCCCAAAAAGGAGAGCAGCTAACCTCTACCTTCTCCATATAATGGAGATTTACTAAAGAAATTTTGCTTTGCTTCTAAAATATAAAACATTTTTCCTTAGAATTGGATAAGAAATATCAAATTAATTTCTCTTTCTCTTAAATAGTAGGTTATTAGAGTAGATTATAGTAGATTTAGAAATTGGTCAAAATTTAGATTTTTTCAAATAAATAAGAGGAAAGAGTATCAAGAACCGTTCACGTTATGATAGTGCTGTTGATAAAGCTTAATAGGATAATACTATGTAAAGAGAATAAACAGAGGCAATACTAATTTTTGTTTAGTGGAAAGAATGGCAAACATCACAGATTGTAACTTAATAGGCAAGTATCCTCTCATCTTTTGAAGTGCAATGCAGGTAGGAAATCCTATTTAGAGGACAAATCATAGAGAAATATAATATTCATGAGTATATTTGCTACTTTCCATTTTAAAAATGTTTTCCTTCAACACAAACACCTAACAGGTAGAATTACTTCTGTCTTACCAATGTGGAGCTAGTGCTTAGAGCTAAAAATGGTTGCTTAAGCTAACAAAGCCAGTATATATCAGACCTGGGACTGTTGTTTTGGTCCTCTAACTGGTGCAGATACATTTTCTTTCTTTTGTGCTCTCTTCTTTCCCTGTAAATCAATCCTAATTCCCTCCCAACCTCGGACATAGCACATGCACACAGAAAGCCCCATGGAGCCTACCTTTCATTGTCAATCCCCAGTCCATGTTTGTTTCGGCAATGAGTTTTCAGTAGCACATTCATAAGATAAATTTGATCCTGTAATATTTATCATACTATTTATATAAAAACCCAAAGACTCAGTGTCTTCCATATTGCTTTCAGAGGTGGGTGTATTGTCCATTTTCCATGTGATAAGTGGATGAAGATAAACACTTCACACACTGCATATTAAGAAGCTATCTCTGTTCCTCTTTTCATACTTTATCACAGGTGTGATGAAAGCTAGGAGGGAGAAAGAAGGGCATGTGAGGGCCTGGCATTAGTTTCTTTTTAAGTCATCTGTGCAGAACACTTATTATTTTAATACCCATAAAATGAAGAGCTAAGCTTTTTGAGAAAAACTTGGCAGTTACGAAAGGAAAAACAAAACAAAAACTCTGTAGAAACTTAAGATACAGTCTGGTTATCTACAAGTGAAAGAAAAAAGCATGTGCAGATACTTAGCAACTAGCAATCTTCGTTCTCTAGCAAGAATTCTAGATAGAAATCTAATGACCTCAGTGAGCAACCAATATAAACTAGAGCTCATGCAGCACTATGCCCTCTTCAGGTAATAACCCAGAGCCTGTTTGATTCTTTGTTTACACATGATTCTTAGATTTCTGAGTCAAGATCTGAAGCAGCTAAATGAGACAGAGGGAAAAGAAACAAGCGCTGGATAAAACAACCTGCTAGAAAATGCCCCTCCCCCCAATAAATAAATATAGTTAATATAGACAGGAGGAAAGCATACAATATTAAACTTAAAAAACAAAAATTAAGCCAGTAATTCAACATTTTAAAAGATAGCATATGGGCAGAAATTAAGATTGATACTATTAAATGCTAATAAGACTAACGGGTCAAAGTAATATATTAAAATTTTCTGATACTTTTTCTTTCAAATCATTTCCCACGATTAAATACAAGAATGCTCATCACAACACCTGTCATGTAAAACACTGGAATATCTACCAGTAGAGGAATGGATGTATCAGTTATAGCATGTCTATACTATGAGATACCATGCATTTAAAACATGAGGTAGATTTGTATTGACTTGCAAGGTAGTCCATATTCAATTAAGAAAGAGATATTTTAGAAAAACATGGAATGATATTATTTCTATGTTTTATCAAACCTTCCATGCATACTTACCTCCCACCTTTAGTACTGCTTTGTTTATGATGTTTCTAGATGCTGTTCCCACATAGCATATGTAAATTCCTTCATCCGGAAGGCTTAATCTTCTAAATGATAAGGAGGCATTTCCATTTCACTATGAAAGAGGGATGTCCTGTTTGTGTATCTGTGATCTTGCCTTTCCAGTCATGGTCTTTGTAGTATGAGTGCACATAGCTCTCTTGATTCTTCCAATGAACTACTACTTCAGGCGCACTCTTAAATAAGCAAGGGAGAATTACATCTTCACCAAGTCCTCCAATGGCAATTTGCTTCTCCTCAATATTATCAAGATTTGAGGAAGACAAAAGCAATATAACTAAAAATCAAGAGCAGTTATGAGGAGAATTAGCGATGGGTGCTTATCAAGGGCTATATCAGAACCACCTAGAAGAATTATCCTAGGTCAGCAGCCTGCCAATTAAGACAATACCATCAAAAACCTTGCTAGTCTGATTACTAGAAACGAGTCACAAAGCTAGTGTTAGAGTTTCTGCAATTGTATATTATATATGCAAGAGTCCTGTTGACTTTCATTTCATGAACCCATTTACTTCTAATACCTACTACAATAACAACAAAACCATTTATTCAGCTAGCTAGAGTCAGCAGGCCCTAAACAAATAGAACAAACTTAACTTGGTTTCATTAGGAAATATTTGGAGTGTGTAGAAGACAATGCTGGATTTGGAAATCTGTTAGGAGTATGCAGACCTTAATCTCAAGCAAGGGAGCACATGGGCAGGAGGGGTCCAAAAGGGGAAATGAAGGGACTCATTTATTTTGGCTTTAGGGCACCTCTCAGGATGTCATATGTGTCAAATGAAATGTACCTAAGGAATAGCATCCTAGATATAAATGTGGAAGTCCAATCATCCTGAGCTATATATTTATACATATAGTTTTTTACTATTAATTTCAGAAGTTGACTTTGAAAAGCAGATGGATTCAGAAAAACAAGCAAGGTTTTCGTAAAGAAAATATATTTAGCCATTCCATAATCCTTGGAGGTAGCATCCAGCTTCTTTGACTAATTCACAAAACATTGTAGGTAGATCGTGTACCCTATCTATGGATTTTAGGAAATTAGGGCTATAAAGACAATGGAGTAAACTCCTTTGGACCTTGGCCAAGACTACCCAAGACAGGAGAATTGAGTGCTCATGTGGCCTTGTCACAGTCTTTTTCCTCTGCCTTCTCTGGGGCTCCTTCTACTCTGCTATGTCCCACTTCTTTCTCTCCCTCAGATTTAGTTTATTTCTGTACAAAGAGCTAGAGGGATGTGGTGGTATTATGCTGAGAGAAAGACATGGAAAGATGGGAAAGAAAAGGAGTGGTTTATGTCAACCTCCCAAGTTGTTCTACTAAACACCTCTAATATTTCATTGGATAATTTAAAAATGCCCATGACAGGACCAAGAAAAGTGGATAATGCCTGCTGTTAAGTGCTAAGTACCAAGCTTACCCTTGAAAAAAAAAAATCAATCATCAGTCAATCAAACTTGCCTTTCTAGTGATTTTATATCTGGTAGCAGATAACAGAAAAAGCCTTAGAGAAGAGAGGAGAAAATATCATTTTTAATCTTCATCCAGGATCTCCAGTCTGTTTCCTATTTCTCTTTAAGTGATCTTTTAGATCACAACACTATGGCAACAGAGGAAACCATCACCTTGCATTGTGTGCTCACGTCCCTATCTAGTTGTGCAAATAACTAACACTTGGTTATATTATAAAGGAACTCACCGTGAAATCCACTTAGAGGTGGTGCAAGGGTGAGGATGACAGATAGCACTGCCTGTGCCTTCATGTCGTGTGGAGGTCATACTAATTACATTATCGAAGATAAGCAAAATATGCATGTTAGGGATTTCAAATGCCAGCAGGAATAGGAAAAGAAAGCGTCTGACTATCGGAGATCAGTTAAATAAACTACGGTACATCCATACAAATCATTCTTCTGCAGCCATTAAAGATAATATTGTAATAGTTGGTTCAATGGTGTGGAAAGAAGTTCCTAATTTTATAGGAGAAAAATCAGATTACAATGTAACTTGTAAGTAGCATAATCCCTTTTTAAAAGCACACCCATTTCTGCACATAGGAGACAGACTTGTCACTAAATACACACTAGGATGTTAACTCTGCAGAGCAGATCACATCTAAAGCAGTGCCTACCATATAGTGGGCACTGAGAAATGGCCGTTGAGTGAATAAAGATTTGGTATAGGGTCAACAGTTCTCTGGATAACAGTTTTTGTTATGTTTAAAGCTTTCTACAATGGATATGCATTGCTTTTACAGTAAAAATACTAAAAACAAATTCAGTTAAGCATTAATGCCAATGATGTTAACTATGGTATTGTTTATAATCACATACAAAAACAGGGGTGCCTGTGTGGCTCAGTTGGTTAAGGGTTTGACTTTGGCTCAGGTCATGATCTCACCACTCATGAGTTCGAACCATGCAATCAGGCTCTGTGCTAACAGCTCAGAGCCTGGAGCCTGCTTCAGATTCTGTGCCTCCCTCTCTCTCTTTCAAAAATAAATATTAAAAAATAAAAAAATAATAAAATAAAATATAATAACACACGAAAACAAAACAAAATCTAGAAACATTCTTATAATAGTATAGATCATAAGGCAGTCATTAAAATCATGGTTTACAATGAATGTTTCAAAAAGCATGAAACACAAGAAAATATAGATGGCAAAGTGTATACATACAATATAATTCAAGTAAGTAAAATATAACTGATTTTCTCTGGTGATAGGATTATAGATCATTTTTACTCTCTAAAAAAATAGCTTGTTTAAAGAATAGCATATAATTAGTTTTAAAAAACCTCTAAAGGAAAATTTTAAAGAAATCATTTGGGAGTCATACTATTAAAAAAGCTGTGTCATAAATTTGTTGTAGGATATGAGCTTTAAGAATAATTAAAACTATTCTAGGGGAACCTGGGTGGCTCACTCAGTTAGGTGTCCGACTTCAGCCCAGGTCATGATGACCGCTGGTGAGTTGGACTCACCCCGCTTTGGACTCTGTGCTGAAAGCTCAAAGCCTGGAGCCTGCTTCAGATTCTGTGTCTCCCTCTCTCTGCCCCTCCCCTGCTTTCTCTCTCCCTCTCTCTGTCTCTCTCAAAAATAAGCAAACTTTGTTTTAAAAAAAGAATAATTAAAACTATTCTAAAAAATACAATTCAGGGGTACCTGGGTGGTAAAGTCGGTTGGGTGTCCAACTCTTGATCTCAGCTCAGGTCGTGATCTTACAGATTTGTGGGTTTGAGCCCTGCATGGGGCTGTGTGCTGATGGCACAGAGCCTGCTTGGGATTCTGTCTCTCCTCTCTGCCCCTCCCCTGCTTGTGTGTGTTCTGTCAGTCTCTCTCTCAAAATAAATTTAAAAAATATAATTTGACTCCTTCATCACATCAAAATAAAACCTGATAGAATAATTTATAGTTTCATCTTTGCATTTTAAATTCTAGAATAAAATAATCATGTATACAGACTAAGATGTGGGCCTTTTTTTAACAGGACTATACAATTTTTATATAGATAGATCTAAATAAAAATTGGAAAAGCAACAAGAACATATTAAGATACAAATAAACAATATGTTTACTATATGACAAAGTTATCACTCCAATAGCTTAGGGCAATAGAAAAGATGTTTGGCAAAGCAAAAACTTGTAAAATAGTATTAGTTATGAAAATAAGACCTTTAGGGCACCTGGGTGGGTCAGTCGGTTAAGCGTCTGATTCTTGATTTCCCCAGCTCATGATCTCACAGTTCATGAGTTCAAGCCCTGCATGAAGCCCCAGGTGGGGCTCTGTGCTGACAGTGCAGAGCCTGCTTGGTATTATCTCTCTCTCTCTGCCCCTCTCCTGCTGTCTATCTGTCTCTCTCAAAATAAATAAACATTTAAAAAAAAAGAAAATAAGGCCTTTGTATATTTTTCCTGTAGATGTATTTGCATGTATAATGTATGAAAAGATGTAGCACAATGATTATTTCTGAATACTAAGATTACAAGTAATCACTAAACTCATTTTCTGCATGAGCATATGTAAATATGTAATATTTTTTACCTTTATAGGCTACTTAAAAAAAAAGAATTAAGAATTATTGCTTTCCAAGTAATAATTAACTCAAATCCACCTTGCTTAATGTAACTTTTGGACATCCTATGTCCACTCTCTTTGGATTCACTTTCTCATTCTTTCTAATGACTCCAATATTTGCTACCTTTTCTGGAAATTTCCAACATCCCTTTTTCCCATGTCTCTTTCAGCTGATGCTCTGGCTTCGTGAATTATAATTTATTATGGATACTCCCTCACCCCCTACATCAATTCAACCAACCCATTAAGAGCTGTGTCTTCTCTTTCTGTCCCCCCTTCTCCTCTTACACAAAGCCAAAGCCTTCACTTTTGCTCTGTATCTCATATTTTTTTACATTCAAGAAATTTGTCCCTACAATTATATCCCCTCCTTTACTGTATCATTAGGTTCTCTCTCTTCATTAGATCAATACCATGAGTATAAATACCCCAATAAGCTCTATCGTAAGAACATTAAAAAAGACCATTGTATTCTCCTCTGGCTCTTGATTAGCTACCTACCTATTTCTTAGCTCTTATTAACTTCTTGAAATAATTGTTTAAAGAGCCACCCTCATTTCCCCTTTACTGTCTCTCCTCAATCCACTCTGGCCTCTGTCTGTGTGACATGCCATAAACTGCCCATACCAGTGTCTCCAAAGGCTTCCATGTTGCCAAAAACAGTGGATATAATTTGTCCTCATCTTATCCAATCTTAGAGCAGCATTCAACATAATCGGCAGTTACCTCCCTCCTGGAAGATTCTTTGCTTGTTTCCAGCCCAACTCTTTTTCCTGGTTCTTCCTTCCTCACTGCTCCTCCTCCTCTGCTTTCCCAACTTATGTGAAAATATGGAAAGTTCTCAAGTCTTATATTTTCTC